CCTTGAGTCTTCCACAGTTTTCCTGGTATTCTTTAAGTAGTCTTCAGGAATAATTCTCCAGGTTTCCTGAAAGATATTCCAAAGCTCTTCTTTGGATTTGTCTGCTTTTTGTTCAATTTTCTGGTCAGATGATCCCACACTGCTTTAATAACGTTGAGGTCTGGGCTCTGGGGAAGCCAATCCATGACTGATTCCATTGTGTGTTTTTCTATGCAGGTATGTTTTTACTGCATTGGAATCACTGTCATACTGAAACGTTGTCAGTTAGCGTTGGGCGAATATATCGACTATCGACGATAGGCTGAGCCTATTGTCGATCATTTTTACAAGGGCGATTTTTTGATTTACTTGGCCATGAGTAAGTTAATAATGATGGAATTAATAGAAGCAGTAAACAGAAAAAAAAATGATAATAATAGCGCCGTTTTAACAGCACACTAGGGCTGAACGATATATCGCATTTGCGATAATATCGCGACATGATCAAGTGCAATTTTCTAACCGCAAAGGCTGCGATTATACTCTGGACATGTCCAAATTCATGGGCTGCATCCTCCTGAGGCCGCATTTGTAGACCGATTACGTCACAGCGACGCGCCGAAGGCTGTCCAAATTACTACCATATCCCAGAATTCATAGCGCGGCCCAGCCAAACTCCAGTTTCCAGCAATGGCGGCCGCTACTAAGTTTTAAAATTACTCATACTAATCTTTCTGGGTCACAAAATAAACTTTTAACATATTTTCAGGCGAGAAAGTAGCTGTGTAAACATCAAATATCTGCTCGGTTTATCAAGATATCCCATATTTGCAAAAGTGCTTCGACGTTTTCAGAGGCGTCTGCTACCCACCAGCTCGACAGCTAGCCGGGAGCTCGAGGGTTACTGATGCGGCCGAGAACGGCACAACTCCCGGCACATCATTTTCAGATCACCGCGGAGTTTCGCTGCTCGGGTTAAACGTAATATATAAGTCACTTAGACAACCTAAAAATGTTATTGTTGGGCTTTTTTCAGTGTTTTGTTTGTTCGTGAGTAAATCGGTTTGGCTGAGATTAAAGTTATTAGATTAGATAAAATAAAACTTTATTAATCCACCGGGTGGGTTCCTCCTTGGTTTTCACACAGCTGACTAAACGTCAAACAGAAAACTTATTAAACAGAAGTATGAGACAGTCGAGAATTTACACCAGTGTCTGGTTATATTTTAGATAGCAAGAAGCAGACGGCTGAGTTTATTAAACTCCACCGAGACAGCGGTGACGCTAATCAGAAGGCTAGACCGTCCAATTTCACGCCTTTAAATTTTAAAGGCGTGTTTGTGTGTGTGTTTATACAATTGCTATTATGTTTGCACTTTATGTGTAATGTTACTGACTGCAGAGATCAGTAAGATGTGTGTATTTTTTATTTATTAGTTTTATTTATTTAATATTATTTTTTAATTGAATGACTGTCTAGTAGTTCACAGATGTCGAAAAACTGAGTGTGGTAAAGCCACTGATTTTTTTGTTATGTATATTTCTGCAATCTGCACATTGTACTGACTTTCATTTTAATGTTTACACCAGGGTTCCTTGTCAGCACTTTATGCTCAGATGTTTGTAAGCTAAAAATAAACTATTGTGTATGTTCAAATATACTGTTGTGATTGAAGAAGTTAAATAACAATGTCAGTCATCAATTCATGCATCACCTCATGTCATCATAACAGAGGTCTGTCTTCCAGGAAAGAACAGTTTAAAATTGATGTAATATAGTATTGGCCATACTATATGATGTATTGCTTGTCTTTGTTTAATAATACAGAAGACAAAGACCTTAAAAAATAATCGCATATCGCATTGCAATCGCAATATTGGGGCAAAAAAATCGCAATTAGATTATTTTCCATAATCGTTCAGCCCTACAGCACACTCTTTCATCTGCGAGCAAATGCACCCTCCTCAGAGTGCGCCCAAATGTAGCGATGCATTTACGCAAACTCCTAACAGAAAGAAAGAAAGGCAGTAACCTATGTTCAGAAAAAAAACATGCGGATGGTGGACACATACATGCTCATGCAAGGTAGTGGTGTTTGAGTCCCAACACCACCAGCTGAAATGTGGCCCAAAACCATGACAGAGCCTCCAACGTGTTTTACAGATGGCTGTAAGGATGTTGGACCTCTCTCCTGACCTCTTCTGTATTGACAATAACTTGAACCAAAAATGTCAAATTTGGATTCATCTCTTCATGAGACCTGTTGCCACTCGTTCTCACATTAGTTCTTCTATAATTTGGCATACTTCAGTCTTTTATCCCCGTCTTAAAAATGAGTTCTTAGGAGGCAGCCGTCCACTGAGACCATTTTTGACGAAGCTTCTGTAGAAAGATCAACTGAAATGCCAGATACAGCTCTCAGGTCCTTTTTCTATTTCTTAACAGCATGGCTTTTAAATACCATCCATATTCTGCATACCTCAAATTGTTTCTTAAGAATATGATACTTATCATGCCAAGACATGTCAAGTCCACAGCCAATAGTTCTTTGGTAATCACTTTGCTCCATCTCCTTCCAATCGTGTTACCTTTGGTGTTTTTCAAAGATTCAAGAAATTAAAAATTGGTTCTTTACCAAGTTTTCAGTTATAGTAAATGGACTGGTTCTTATATAGTGCTTCTCTACTCTGACCACAAGCGCTTTACACAACTGGCCTCATTCACCCGTTCATACAAGCACTTTTTTTCTGTGTAAATGCTTTCTAGCTAACATTCACATTCAGAGAGCAACTTGGGGTTAGTATCTTGCCCAAGGATATTTGTCATGCCTGGAGCAGCCAGGGATCAAACCATCAACATTCCAACCTGGGCTACCTCCTGAGCTACAGTCACCCCAACGTTATGTGATTTGGTTCTACAAATCATGTGCGTCAATGTGGAGTCTAACATTTAGATTAAAAAGAGAGTAATTTTATTTAGCGCTATCCAAATTGTGACAAACAATGTCCATCAACAAGACTGAGTGCAACATATGACTGATCGCTGAAAATAAATGCATTTAGTCACTGTCTTTGTCCTTAAACTGATGGTGGATTAAGCACAAAAACGCACATGTTAAACATTAAAAACACCAAACTGGGATCACAGGAGAGGAAAAGGAAAGAAACTGGGTTTGTTGAAGAAAACCTGCCAGTAAGCATGTTGGATCAGTCTGTGAGCTCTTAAGTTTAACCGTTGACTCTCTTTCTGAAACAGATAACCATGTACACTTAATTTCTGTCAAATAAATAACAAAGTAACGTGTCATGGTTTGTAGTTCTTCTAAGACTGTATTTACCTCATTTTAAGACCTACTAAGAAGCAAGCTAATTTTTAATGTGGTACTCATATGTAAAACCTTAGAGTTTAAAGAGGGTCTGCTCTCTTTTTAACATTATTATAGTGAGGGTTAGAATATAAAAAAACCTAACCTGTTATGCTTGTTTTACTGATACTTCAAATCTGCCTCTAATCTCACAAATGCTTTGGGGGAACATGTCCTAACTGGTGGGTCCAGAATGATGACCATGGGTGACTCGGGCTCACTGTGAAATCTAACTGATCAAAGTCAGAAAACAAAAAACAGATTAAAAAAAAGGCCCACATATGAAAGATGAGCAAAAGAGGAGGCATAAAAGAAGTTCCGAGAGAAGCAAGACAACCAGAGTTCAAAGCAAAATGACCAGAAATGCCTTAGCTAAAGACAAACCTACATTTATTGCAGGAATTTTCCCTAAATGGAAAGTATGCCTGTTCATAAACATGACACTTGTGCAGTAGAGTTACTTCATCAAAATATTTAAACAAGGCAGTGTCTTGTAATTGGATTTCATTCGAAGCCATTTCTGCAGACTTTTGAGTCTAAAGTAATAAAAAGAACAAGCACACCTAGATTACAATAAAGATATCAGCTGACATTATGACTTTCTTTATCACTTAAAAATCTTGAAGCAATTTTTTGTCTTTCCAGAAAACAAAGCCTTCAAGCTTCTCCGCTTCTTCGAGCATTGCCCCGTGTCTGTTCTGTTTCTGCAACCTACATCCAGTAATTTTCTAACATCTACAAGTCTTTATATTGAGGATTTGCTCCTTATAAAATTCTCTTACTGATCCATTTAAAAACTGTGGCAAAAAAGTAGCCAGAAATGCACAAGAGGAGTTTGATAGATTTCAGACAGTACAGCATAAGAATGTAGATTTTTGCAGTAAAATGAGAAAACAACCAAATGTTTCAGCTGTTGCATACAATCCCACTGCTGCATATTAAACAAAGACTACTATTTGAAGTCGCGTTGCTCCCAAGCTTCGAAATACGACTTCAAGGTATCTGGAACGTGTAGCACAAACAACCTGACCCAACCCCCAAAGTGGTTGACTGGGAAACTGATGGATGTAAAGAGGTACAACATGTGCACAAAGAAAAATGGTTAAACTAAGTGTTATAAAGGTGAAAGAAAAACAGGCAGTAATTTTAAATGGTATAATAATATGTCATGTAAGGATATAGACTTTGTACTTTGTCACTGTAAAACAGTTAGGCCTCTTTTACACAACTTCCCTGCTGTTTGAGGTTAGTTTAGTTTACTGTATATTTAGTTGCTTTGTTCCAGAACTGACATACAGAAACACATGCAATGAGGCAAGGAGCCTTAACCATCATTCAGGGCTGCTAAGGCATACATACCAACACCAAGGCCCCCCTTCCTGCCCGACTCATCCAAGTGCAAGTTATAGCTAGTTCATCTCTGACTTTGCATTTTTCCTTGTGGGTGTCTATATGTGTTAAGCATGTGCCTGTCAAAACATGCATCTGTTTGTGTCAGCGCGCTTCCAATGTCATATTTAATCTCACAATGACGCATGCAGTTTATCAAAATTGCACACCTATACTTCCCGCAGTGCATGCTGGGATAGCAACCACAAAACCCCCAAAAAGCAGGCTTGTGTATGAGCACATCAGCAAAGAACTGTTTACACCTACCTGAAAAAGGATCCTCTGCACTGTCAGCCTCTTGCTCCTCTGAAAAGATTTTGCCCAAGCTGATAGGTCTGTTCCCTCCAGCTGCAGCTCCACTGTTGCTGCCATCTTCCACATCCTCCACTGGCACCACAGTGAAGGTGGGCATCTTGATTCTTCTTTTACCCGGAAGAAACTATGAAGAGATTACAAACTAGGAAGACACTGGCTTTTCCCACAGAGAACAGATTTTAAAAAGTGTCCAGATAAATCTAAATAAAAGGACTGAACCCGATGAGGCAGGCCAAACTTCACTTTAACCACAACATGGCACTCAGATCTTTTGTTTCCCTTCTTTTTGGTGTGTAATCCAATGTCCTCTAGACTCAGGGTGAAAGTACCGCCTCCTGCACATGAAGCAGGCCAAAGTCCTCCTGTGTATCAAGTTACGCCCTCTCCTTGTTTCTTTCCCTCCCTTTTCTCCTAACTGCTTCAGCACTGTTGGCCCACGTGACCCTCTGTTTACCATATGAACAGTTAGTCCACACAGAGGAAGCCCTGCAGCCCCTCCCACTCTGACGTCCCACTTCTCTCGCACACACCTTAGAAATGCAAGACGGCAGGGAAGCAATATCCAGAAGTACATATAAAAAGGATCTGACTCATCCACACGAAGCGGAACACCCGAGTCATGCTTAGCAGGACAAACCTAAGTCTGTTTCTTTCTGCTTTCGTTTGTTCCTCTCCCTTCGGCTAATAGTTGTCGTCTCTGTGTTTTTCCAGGTAAACAAGAGGAGTGTTCCTTTTCCCACATTGCATGATGGGTAATGAGGAAGAACAGCGATTCAGAATATTCTTGCTCTCTGACGTCCGCACACATTGTAACAGCAAAGGAAACACCTTGGAAATCTTGAAGAGTGACTTTCCTCTTTATTTCTCTGTATTTCCTGTCTGTTGCGAGTTCCACGATTACAATGGACAGTCACAGGCGGAAAGGAGTGAGCTTTGAATAACAACGGCCACAAGTAAACATGCATTGTGTTTAGTTTGTGGGAACAATTATTTTATTACCCATCTTTCTCTTTAAAAGGCTGGCAGGGCCTGTCTTACTCAACTATAAACTACCTGTTACATCATATCTTTGTGTCAGTACTGTGAAGTCTGAGTACTGAGAAACTATACAAGTGTCTGTTTTTGAAAGTGTCTGTGTCAGTCAGTATATTTTGCAGCACGTCTGTTAGGTGTTTAAAGGGAAGCTAAACTACATGTCTTACTTGAGAATGCCATTTTGGCTTTTGAGGTTTAAAACTATAGTAAAATATACTATGGTCTGAAATTATACATGTCTGTATTCATCTAATGTATTTTATACCACTTGTATTTAAAGTTTAACACATTGTTGAGTTACTCTAACATAAACCCGAGACACATGGAAAAATGCCATTTACACCCTGAAATGCAAGACAGTATGAACAAGCAGCTTTACTGCTGCTGTTTTCTGTATTATTTTGGTAGTTCAAGTTTTGCTCTTTGCTCTCCAGGAGGATGGTATCATTTTTGTGCTATTTGTTAATTTTTTTAATATTACATTGCCAATCCTGGACCTCATCCACTACATAGCATTATTAATCTGGACATTAACTACACAAATGCCTTTATGTAACATTTCTAATGAATCCATTAGAATCACGTAATAGATTAATTAGACAAATCTTCTCAGAAAGTTGATTCTGTTCATCTGTATGTGACGTTTTCAGTGCAAGAAATATTTTGTAACTTATCCAAGCGACTTCTTCAGTCTTGGCTGACTACAACACATTTGCACAAAGTACAAAACTAGCACCGCTGACTAACAGTGGGCCGTGAGCTAGATCTCTTAGGCTGTAAAATTCCCGTCAATAATGAATTCAGAAGTCGATGTGTAGGGTTAACCAGTAAGTGCCACAGATCAGGATTTTATGTTTGTCTCTCATAATCTATTGGAGCACAAACTGAGTATCATGAGGACGCTACAACAACACAAAGTGAACAACATCGCCACAGACACAGCAGCCAGGGAAGCAGAAGAACATCATGTCAAGAAAGCATGTTGTTCTAATAGTTTTCCGTTACTTGTCTTTTGTTCTGCAAACACAGAAACACAAGCACTTCAACTCAGAGGTGTGCACTGAATACGATGAATATGATACAGGACCACTGTAACCAGCTCCTTATGTTATTTCAGAACTTGTGCTGACAAAATAACCAGATACTCAGTATTGTTCACACTGACAATATTGTGCACCCCTATGTATGTTTACACAACTTATAATGTAGCAGGCTGCTGGGGATTACTCTGATCCCCTTATTGACAATTTGAGAGGTGAAACACAGTTTCGCACAAGTTCATGTACGAGATTTAAACTGCACACGCCAACATTCACGCTGTATTTATGTTCGTAACAACATCTCTCGAACACACTTCTTGTACAGCTTCACTCTGCTTACATTACCTGTGCTCACCTGCAGACACAGAAACACAAGCACTTCCGTTCAGCTCGGATTCACTCTGGAAGCCGCTCGCGCCACGCGTGTGCCAACAAGATCTAAGGACCCCCAAGCTGCCCTACCCAGTGCCTGCGCGAGGTCCACTAATGGGAATTATAATAGACCTGTCGCTACCCGGGGTACCGATCGGGTTTCCGGTACGGATCGGGTAGTGACAAGACCCTGTGCACGAGAAAATGCTAACTTCCTGGTTTGAGACCGGATGTGGGGTTGTACATTTCCGATAGCTTTACTTTGCGGTCAATCGCTACTGCGAAGATATACTCCAAAATCATGTCCAAAACTCGAAAACGGAAAGATTGCGTTAAGTTACAAAGAGCAGAAGGTGGGAACACTCACCGCTGTTGTGTCATAAAAAAAAATCTAATGATCAGTTTTGACGTTTAAAGCGTTTAGATCGATCAGTTGTTTACATCACTCAACACAAGCAGAACTGCATCACTGCAGCAGAAGACACATCGTCCACATTCAGAAGCACATCTCTGTATAGTGACTGGTCTTATGATTTAAACAGGCAAATGTTCAGCATTCAAACTACAGGTGAAGAAAAGTCAAACCAGATGTTTCCCCCATAATGTCGAGATCAGCTAGTCAAGTACACACCTACACAACATGTTAACAAACCGTGAAAAAAGCCACACAAAAAATGAATGATTGCTGGTAACGGTTTCTATACATTAGTATGTAGGAAGGATATGTTGTGACTTGCCTTCAAAATTACAGTGGTCCCTCGCTATAACGCGGTTCACCTTTCACCTCGCTGTTTTGCAGATTTTTTAGTGCAAGTTTGCACTTTTTTTTTACGTCACATTGTGTCCTGCGTCCTGATCGCTGCAGACGATCTCCTCCGTGATGTCTCTCCTGTACAGTACAGAATCGCTGCATCCATCGCTAGCAATGTGACTCTGAAGTGCAGTGCTTTATGTCCACGATGTCCACCAAACGTTTTGCACCGTCAAAAAATAAAATCGGCTACTTGATTTCACCTATCCTGGTTATTTTTAGAACATAACACCCGCGATAAACGAGGGACAGCTGAGAAATATAACATTTGAATCCCTTTTCTCTTTTGCTCTGAGGCGCAGGAAAAAATATCAACAAGTCGATGAACATCATTTACAGATATATTGGGTAAATGCCCGAGACATCTATAGAAATGTAAATCGCTGCTTGATTCATTCATTTGCTTAACTTGTTTTGGACCGTAAACCAGGCGCGAATAAGACACCGGAAACAAAGCTCCCCACAGGAGTTTCCGCACCGGAAGTAGCATATGCTAACGTGCACACAGTCAATTAACCCACTAAATGTTGTAGTTGGATTGCCAGTGAGCATAATATATGTCAAAATAAAGTAATAAAAATGTAAATCAACACAGTAACATCAATAAGGAACAAAATTAAATAAAATTATGTTTTGAAATCCACTCCTGTGGATTCAAAAAGGTGAAAGGGGAGCACCATCTCAGAATCGAAGAGGGGGCCTGAGAGTACATCTTTTCATCTTATAATGCTGTGACCACCCATGGTACTCATGGCTATTTGTCACTGGTCATGACGATTTTCATTTTAATGATAATATGAATCAAATTGACCTCATCGTCCAAAGTCATGCTTTCCCCAGGCAGTAGCGTGTATTTTTTGACTGCTATGCAGATGATACCCAGCTTTCTCTATCCATGAGGCCAGATAACAAACACACTTAAACTACAGAAATGCCTTCAAGATACAAAGACCTGGATAACCTCTAATTTCCTACTTAATTCATATAAAACTGAGGTTATTGTACTTGGCCCTAATAATCTTAGAAATATAGTTTCTAACCACATGCTTACTCTTACTGGTATTGCATTTAAAATCCTTCTTATCACATACAAGATCTTGAATAATCAGTCCACCCACACATGCAGGGCCTTGGAGTAGGGGTATGTCACCAGGGTGCAGAGGAGGCTACCCCCCCCTCTGTCCCCTTCTGGCTGCCTCTGCCTCAATTTTATCCCACAACTTAGACATTCACATTATTCACACTCTCATTACACATACATATAGGATCTTGGGGGTGGGCACAATCACGGAGTCCAAATTACCATCAGGGTGTACACCTCACCCCTGGCGTCGTTGCCCACCTCTCAATTTTAAATACACTTAGACATTGAGGGCTATCAGGAGGGACTATGCGCTTACCTGCTGCTCCTTGGCAGGTAGCTCCATGCCCTCCTGGGTTTTAATTGCACCGTAGAACACACATGCATCAACACTACAATGAGCGGGTGGAGGGAGGTTTGGAGTCTTCTCCCACCCCCATTCTCTGCGGCCTGCTGGAGCGGGAGGGCTAGGTGGAGTTGGCCGTCCGACTGCGGTCTGGAGTGTGGGGCCTCCCTGCTGCTACAGAGTCGGGGTGGTCTGCCTCTCCCCACCGCAGGGAAAAGGGTAACACCACCTGGGTCTGGGTGCAGTTCCCCCCTCCAGGGGCAAGGGTACCTAGACCCGGTTTGTAGAGTACGCTTGGGGAGTGTGATTGTGTGTACAGCGTCTCTTTATGTCTGTCTCCACGTTGGTTGAGTGTGGAGTGAGTGCATATGAGAGCATGAGGGGGGGAATGGATGTTTGTGTCTGTGTGTGCCTGTATGTCTGTGTCTATATGTCAGGTTGGGTATCAGACGCCACCTCTCTGGGGACACCTCAGGCCCTCCAAGGTTTGGAGGCCTATCTCTGCCCACCACCACTTCCCCTGCCGGTGGCGGACTCCCTCAGGTGTCGGTGCGTTGGTGGTTCTTTGTGTCTGGGGGTGGGCGTCCAGGTACACACTGGCTCACTCCTTGGCGGCCGGGGCCTGGAGCCTGGGGCTCGCTCGGGCCCCTTCGGGGTGGGGTGCCCCCGGCCTCTCGGCCTGGGGCTCGGTCACTCAGGCACAGCTGGCGGCCGGCGGAGCTCACGGGCGCGTCACTGCAACTCCCCCTGGCTTCTGCTCCGCGGCTGCTGGGTGAACCCTCATCTGGGACTCTCCTCAGCTCTTACTGGAACAGTGGCGCGGCTGCCCCTCTGTTGGTCTTCCATGGTCTCTTGTGTTCTGGGGGCCTCTGGATGTCTGGAGTTTTGATCTCCTCCATACCTGCTTCACACCCTGGAGGACGGGGCTGTGGCCCCCCCACACTCCCTAGCAGATCGTTACATGGAGAAACCTTTGGAATACAAGCGCGCTGATCCACACAGGTATGCACACATGGGTGTTCACTGCTCGTAGACCCAAATTACACCTTTCTTGGCTGCTACTTCGAAGCACATCTGTCCTGCGTGCTGCACAACAACATTGAATATTTAGTATTTACTGCTGTTTACACTTAGCTAGATTAATGCGATGGTGTTGTGTTTAGTATGTTGCTTTGTTTTTTGTTTTTTTTTTGTCTTTTTTTGCTTGTTTTCTATTCCTCTCTCAACAGGTGATCCAGGAGATTTTTATTTTTTTTCTCCCCCCCTTTCTCACTGTCCCTCTCCCCTTCTGTTTTTCCTTTCCTTCCTCTTTCTTTCTCCCTTTCCTATCTCTCACTCATGTCTGTCCCGTCTGTAACATCTGAAAATAAAATATAATAAATAATAAAAACAAAGATCGACCAAATGGACCAATACGGCAATGCCACGATGATCCATTTGGCAAAGTAAATCCATTGGGTATCCTTGTTGGTCTTCAGACAACAATTCTGATGGCTAAAGAACCAAATGGGACAGGCGAGGAAAAAAAAAAAAAAGAAAAAAAAGAATAATCAGTCCCTATCTTATCTCAAAGACCACGTACCTTACCGTGACAATAAGCACATCGCTTTCAGATCGCTGGTTTACTTGTGGTTCCTTGGGTATTTAAAAGTAGAATGGGAGGCAGAGCCTTCAGCTTTCAGGCCCCTTTTCTGTGGAGCCAGCTCCCAGTTTGGATTCAGGAGCAGGCACTATCTCTGTTATTAAGATTAGGCTTAAAACTTTCCTTTTTGATAAAGCTTGTAGTTAGGGCTGAATCACTTGATAGTGAATCCTCCATAAGTTATGGTGCAATAGGCCCATAATTAATGGGCCTAATGCAATACCTTCCCACTGTTGCCAAAGCACTTTCTCACAGGGGTTCATCTGATTGTTGGGATTTTGTTTGTATTATTGTAGGGTTTTTACCTTAGAATATAAAGCCTTTACAACAACAGTTGCCTTGAGTCAACGTTATTTTTATTTGTTGCTATATAAATAAAATTTAATTGAGTTGGTGCCATTGTTAGTCTCTTCAAAGTCATCAAATGATAAGTACTAAGGTCACACCATATAATGCCAGCAGAGGGTGCTGCAGGTTCATGAGGCCTTGAACCTGCAACGCTGACAGTGAAGTGCGAAGAGATGGCAACTCAGTGTCCAAGTCACAGGGAATGATATTTATAATTTGCAAGCAGCCAGTGGTGGACTAGCTGCACATATGCTTTGGTTCACAGGAG